GGGGGGAGAAGGGGGGTCTGAAAGCATTTTCTTTTGTACATATGACTAATATCTTTATTTTAAAACTCAAATCTTTGCAATATATCATAACAAAGGCAGGCCGACAGAACTAGCTATTTACAACTTTATGGCAATGAGCCATTGTCACAACCCAAAATTCCATCAATGATCGTGATAGCACATAACCCAACCTGCTAGGCAAATCAACATCCAAAATCAACCAAAGAATTAGATTAAAAATCAAGAGTACAAATGTTAAAAAGTTTTATATAAATACACCCAAACATACACACATATATGTGTGTGTAATAATAAGTTTTAATAGGTATTCTTATAGTCGATTTGGTCTAAGTATTTGGGTTATTTTTTGGTCGATTTTTAAAATTCAAAATTAAAACCAAATTAAATCTAATATTTATCGGTTTTTTTTATCGGTTTGATTCGTTATTTTCCATGAATACCTTACGGGATGGGATGGGATGGTTTACACTTCAAAGAAAGAAAGGAGTTTCTTCCTAGAAACTTCGTTAAAGTTGCTCAGTCCCACATTGGCAGAAAATGTAAAGTTCTTCGCATATACACTTCAGTAAAGTGATGACTTAATTATCATTTTTACCAGTAGAAATTTGTTTAGCAGAAGTTTGGTTAGCTGCATGAGTGCATATTAATAGGAATCAATTAAAGTCAAGGTTCCTGTTGGGCTAAACTAGCCCAAAGACACTCTTAACATGATGTGATATTGTCCGCTTTGGGCCAAGCCCGCACGATTTTCCCCAAAAGGCCTCACACTATTAAGAGATCCCTACACCTTATATGTAGACTCCCAATCTTTTCAGCTACCAATGTGGTACTTTGTTCGCACACCCAACAATCTCCCCCTCGAACTAAGTTCCACGTGGCCCACTACCACGATTCACGGGTCTCCCCCCTCGAACTAAGTTCCATGTGACCCATTGTCACGATCCACGGATCAATTTGCGAGATTCATTGTGTGCCACCCACATTATTAGAGTATTATGGAAACTGAAGCCCGCAACTAGCTTCTTCTTGTGTGCCCACCGCCTCGCACCATCACTTTGCCATCCCATACTCGTCCCGCCGAACCTAGGCTCTGATACTAGTTCTTGGGCTAAACTAGCCCAAAGACACTCTTAATATGGTGTGATATTGTCCGCTTTGGGCCAAGCCCACACGATTTTCCCCAAAAGGACTCACACCATTAAGAGATCCCTACACCTTATATGCAGACTCCCAATCTTTTCAGCTACCAATGTGGGACTTTGTTCGCACACCCAACAGTTTAATTAACATTATCGCCAGGTACAAATCAAGTACTTCCTCCGTTCCAATTTTTCTAATTTATAAAGGGGCGGATCCAGGATTTAGAGGCTCCGAGTTTCAAAAATTTTGAACGTAGTATTACATTTACATTGTCTAAATAGGATATAAATTTAATCGATTTGGATTTCAGTTCGGGTTATTCGTCTTTGGAGTTAATATAAACAAATCGATCGAGCAAAAAGATTACCTAATAATTATGATAACTTGGAAAAAAAACATAAAAATTCAACTGGATTATGCATTTTGTACAAGAAAAAAGACTCGTTATCACTTTATATTTAGATACTTAAAGCAAAAACGTATACTAATAAGTACTCTAAATATTAAGTAATTTTGCAGACATTTTTCAATTTATATTTTTTATGAAAATTAACTCACTCGATATTATATACAATTGTCCTACTTTAGAGGAATCTAACAACAAAATAAACTTCCGTCATTGATTAAAACAATAACTTATTCAAGGATTCTTTCTTTATTTTTTATTTTGATTTCTGCAAATAGATTTCTAGAGAGTTATGGTCCTGGAGAAAACAATTAATTTTTCTTTACCTATTGATAAATCTGAAAGGAGTAAGGAAAGTGCAACAATGGGAATTTCTTTGAATAGATTTGTGAAAGAATTTTTTTTCGTTTATATTTTCTGTTAAATGTTTAAAAAAAATAAGGAGAAAGGAAACTTCAAAATAAACTAATAAGATCAAAGAAAAAGTTAATAGGACCTATTAATAAACAAAAAAGAGCAATTAAGTAAAGAGAAAGAAGAAACAGAGGATCCCCATTCGAACCCACACCATTTGGATGAAAATGGTGGTGCCTTGCCAGTGGCACCTTGAGCCTTTTTGCTATTGAGGGTGCCACGTATACATTCCTTCTATAAATACGTACTATTGCATAGTCTCGGCCAAAGCTTGCGGGTGACGCACCACCCCTGTAGCATCCCCGAAAATTTCGGAGTACTTAAGCGCTATTAAGAAAGTTGATATGCGCTAATTATATTATTTTGTGTGTAGACGAGGACTATTAATATGAAGGATATCAATTGGATATGATAATAAGTGTACGAGGCATATTATAAGTGGTGTGGGGTCTAAGGATAGCCCTAAGTCCAAATAAAGTTGGAAATTACAAGATAGACTAAAGTTCCAAATCAGTACGCACGAGACCAACCTTTGGACGAGCATATATATATATATATATATATATATATATACATATATATATATGATGGACAAGCTATCAAGTGAAAGATCTTTGAGTCTAGTTTCTAACTCTTCAAACCGTTTGTCATTTGGACATTCCTACAGAAGTTATGACCAAATTACAAAAGGCTAGCAGAGGAGTCTGCGGATGCGAAGCAACCGGGGCCGCGTCCGAAAGAAAGACTGGCACTGAAGTGCTGCCATAGCATCCAGGTCCGCATCTGAGCTTCGAAGAGGAGTGAACTGGGGATGCAAAGTATCCGAGGCCGCGTTCGAAACCTAGAAAGCTGGGCCTATAAATACAAGTCGGGGGAGGAGAGTATTTTGAGTATTTGGGGGTTAGGGTTCTTGAGGTGAATGGGCAATTTTGAGCTCAAATCAAGTCCAATAACTATGGTAAGTTGTTAATGATGTTTTGGGTTGATTATTAGTCAATATACATGAGTTCTAACATCATTCTTGCATCCAAATGCTATATTTCATCATCAAATCCTCAAGAACACTAAAATCACCAAAGTTGTGATTTTTCAAGATTGAGCTACTAGAGGTAATTTCAATGCTTCAAACTCGTTTATAATGAGTAGTTAAAAGTATTTGAAGTATTTGTTACAAGTTTTAATGGTTGAAAGATTGGATAATAAAACTAGTTCATTGCATGAATAGTTCTTCTGAGAAAATAAGAGAGAAGATGAATGGTAATCTTGGCGATGAAATTTATGAATACAATGAACCTATGAAATTATTTGTTAGCAAAAGATGGAAGTGATCAACTAAGTAATCACCCGAATTGTATATTTGCAAGTGTTGATTATGGAAGACGATGATTAGTAACTTGGTGGCAATGGACAATTGATGTAGTATCATTAGTGACTTCGATTGGGAATTAAAACATAAGAATGAAGTTGAATGGTCTAGCATGTAAAACTATTTGGCGATTTGAGTTGTTGGAGGCTTGTAGCAACCTTATGAGCCATATATAGATGTTGATCAATATCTTAGGTCATATTTTGATGTAGTTAGGATATCTAATTGTAGATATCGACTTGTTGGTGATGTTGAGCATTTTAGTCAACATTGGAATGATGGAGGAGGATTGAAAGCTTGTGAATGTTAATAAAGCGAAAGCGAGGTAAGTTGATTAAAACTTATTCTTCTTGAGGGACTTTCTCTAAAAGCATATTTCGTGTTAATACTTAAGTTGTTTGCAAATGTGCTTTCGTGCTTGTGGGGACAAACAAGTACGGATGTCTCAATGTATTAAAGTATTATGTTGCATATGTAGTGTCATGTTGTATTATAAAATTATATTTTAAATCTTGTTGGCAAAATGACACTCAAGGTAAATGTTATAAGTTTATATCAATACTTATGTATTGACAAGAGTATACATTATGAGTGCTAAAGATAAGTTTTTATGGAAAGTATTTCTTTTGAAAATTGACGAACAAAATAGCACTTGTGGTATCTTTTAAAGATTGATGTTAAATTGCTTAAGGCTTTAGCATGTAAAAGGTTATTTATTTAAATTTTATTCAAATGATTTAGATTTTCTGTAAATGCTATGATTTGATAAAAATAGATCCTTTGAGGCTACTATGCTATGAATATATTTTTGAGGTATCAAATATTTTGGGAGTTACTTGTGTTCACCGAGATTGACTTCAGATATATCGTTGTGATGACCCGGTAGGTCATCTTATAATTTAAACCTAATTTTGTGATCCAAAATATTTAAAAGTTATGTTCTAGCCTTTCTCGATTTGCATGCGCAGTTCGGGCGTCTTTCCGGAAAGCTTTTATGTTTAAAACTGGAAAAAAAAATTTTTGCCTAAAAACTTCATTTGAGTTGACTTCAGTCAACCTTCTTGGTAAACGGACCCGGATTCGTATTTTAACAATCCCGGTGGCTTCGTACCGTGATTTGGGACTTGGACGTATGCCCGAAATCGAAATCATAAGTCCCTAGCCCGAGATATCGGACTATGTCGAAATTTGAAAGTTGAAAGCTTAATGAAATTGATGTGTTTGACCAAAGTTTGACTTTTTGGATAACGGGTCCGTATTTTGGTTCTGGAGCCCGGTATAGGTCCAATACCATAATTATAACTTATCTGTGAAATTTTATGAAAAATGGAGTTGATTTGACGTGATTCGGACGTCCGGTTGTGAAAATAGGAATTTCAAAGTTTTCTTGAAAATTTCATGTGATTTGGGGTTCAATTCATAGTTCTAGCTGTTATTTTGGCGA